GTATAGCGGGTTGGAAAGAAGTCAGTTTGGTGGCGTACTGCGAGTCATGTTTTTGAGAGAAAATGACAAAATAAATGAATGGTGAAGAAACCGACCACAGGAACGAGCTGGACGAGGAACTGTGATGTTCCTTTGGGAATAAGCGATAATATCAGGCAAACCAAATTCAAAAATCTTCTTTGGTTGTGCTAACTGCATCTAGAGTCGCCTTCTTCGACTTCTTCTACCACCCTTGATCGCACTTGCAAGAAAATAAAGCTAATCAATTCCACAATTTGTCTTTTGCAACATTTTCCCGCCATTTTGGTCAGCAACAACCGCTGTTTGCAATAGTGTCTCCTGTATTTGTGCAACTAAGTTCGACTAAATTAGGTTCGACGTTTGAATCAACTGCCGAACTTAATTATTTGGGTCGACCCAAATTGGTATTAGGTTCGGCAAATATGAAGTTCGACGTTGGAACCGGGCTTTATTTATTTCTCATTATTTCGGCCGGCTTTGAGCGCGAGTAGTCCACTGAGTTGGTCTAATAAAATTTGCGGGTCGTGTTCTTTATTACTTGGGATCCTTCGATTCACCATAAATGAAAATATGTCTTTATTGTCTCCATATTCAAGATGAGCCTTTCGAAAAGCATTTTACTCTAGTTGTGTCGTTCGAGTTCCGAAAGTAGTACATGGTTGAAGTGCACTGAGGTGGAAAAGTTGCGTTTTGTCCTGGCCATATCCAGAGAACTGTTATGTTAATTCATCGAAACAATTCCATGTAAGACACGGGAAGGTAGTTATAATTTTGCTTCTTGATTTTGCTCTATCGTTGCCTTTTTTATTTCTTCAGCATGAAATGACATAATATTTGTTTTCTCTTTGCTAGGAAATTACCAGGAAACACTGAATGATGCAAAAGCTGCTGTTACTATGCAACCAACTTTCATTGAAGCCATAGAAAGAGGTAGGTTCTTGGTGACCATTTATAATGATTGATTTGTGCATGACAAGCAGAAGACCGCTGATCGTAGGTTAACAAGGCTTTGAAACAGTGAATGAAACAGTGCGCTGTCAGTTACAGGAAGACTTATTTTATTGTTAGCTAGTCCACCGTTCCTCAATTTTTCTCCTTATTGCTATTTGATCGATTCTTCTGTTGGATAGCCTCTAGTGTACAATGGGGCCTTTTTTGTTGTCGCTATGCTGGTAACCTGTCAGGAGTAATAATGCTTTAAGACAAATATTACGGTTCCGTTTTAGGAGCTAGTGCTTGTATCAAGTTAAAGCGCGACAAAGAAGCCACGTCCTGGTGTGATAATGGATTAGCAGTATCCTTTGAAACATGATGTCGCATTCATTTTCCTTCTTAAAAGATGCAAGTGCCGTTGCCTTTTAGGATTTTTTTAGGATGTAGTTGTAATATAAAGAATAAGGCCGACCTAAAAGCGTAGTTCCTGGGCCGGGTTGTTCAAAGCCCGATTAAGCTAGCCCAGGAAAAGGTAGAATTTTGATTTGAGTTTTGTAACTTTCCGGTGAGGTTTCCTGTATATTGTTTGGCCCTCTGTTTTGAGTTGTAATAATCACCATATACACAAAAAAGCAGCAAAAAACATTTGTATAGAAGAAAAAGTTCAAATTCGGTTAATTTTTAATCCTGGGTTAGCGTTAACCGGCTTCCGAACAATCCTGCCCTGTTTTCAACAAATTAACCTGACATGATCAGCGATCCAATCAAAAGCCAGCACTTGGTCAGCGGTCAACTTTAAAAAAAGCACCTGACCTCGATGAGCTGTAAACTTTAGCCTGCACTATGGTCACGTGATACTGGTCAGCGGATACCTTGTTTTGACAGGTGTCAATTGATCATAACATGGATGTCTAATATCAAAGAAGGACACGGTAAACCAAGGCTGCATTTCTCTGTCAATTTATTATTTGGAGTATGGCCGTCATGTTGCGCGACTCCGTCGTCGTCGTCGCTATCATCGTGCGTACTCGCCAACGAGCAATACCGCTAGCCATGATAACCATGAGAAAATCAATTCATGGGTTTTTTTTCTTCCCTACATGAGTACGGGGGTTCGCTTGGCGGCCCTTCGGGCCGCCGGGGCTCCGCTATTACAGTAAGACTGGAACATAACTGTGCTTTTGATTAGAACATTTTCCATATCACAGAATCTCCCCACGCCAGTACATCGACAAAGGCTGCAGACATTACACCACTGAGCTCCTTTTCCATGAGAGGACAGTTAGTCCCCCAGTAATCACTGTAAAAGTTTTTAGCTAGCATGAGCGAATTTGAGTTTTTGCCCGAGCTAGGCATCAAACGTGACAGCTCTTGGGTAAACTTTAGAATACCCGTCTACTGAGGTATTACTCATCACATCCTGCTAGCCCGGTTCGCGGTCACTTGCGCGAAATACCGCTGCTACCGTGGTGTAGAGCCCGTAGTCGGCTACATGACCCTTTAAATCAGTCGAGTAAGTTCTCTTACTCGTTCTTTAGATCTACAAAACGGAATAAAGAACAGATAAATTTAGACTCCTCTTTCTTAACATGAACTTGTATACTTAAAATTATTTAATACCAAGTGGAGAAACTTTGATACTCGTCCTTTAGCGAACAATGAATGGGGCAAAGAACAGGTAAATACTCATTCCTTGTTCTAATCGCGAAGACCAATTTGCATTCCTTGTTCTAACTGCTAACTTGTAAAGTACGAACAGCGAAACATGTGCGTCTCGTCAAACCGGAACCATTCAAAAATCGTTTTGGAGGGAAATCAACTATCACTTCGTAGAATACACGAGCTCATAATCTAGTTGCGATTTAGTGCCAGATCGGTTGGTTTATAATCCAGGGTTATAATGGTAAGCTTTATTGCGCTGTACATAAGACTGGGCTAATGAAAACGTGGTTAACAAAAATGGCCTCTTTTGAACTTAATGAGCTACACAATTGGATTTCAGGCCTCTAAAAATCTGCAAATCCCTTTAAACCGATCATAAAAGATAATAGAAAAGTACACAAGAAAAAAGAGCACAAAGTGTAGCAAAAGCGGGTGACATTGCTTTAAATTTTTATATTGTCTAGTCTACACCAGGGTGAAGTTTCGTTAATACTCTTTTAATTTGTGATGCTTCTGTTGTCAAAAAAGAGCATTTACTGATCGCTACTGCTGTACCTATGAACAAGTGGTTTAAGAAAAGTATCCTATTCAAAAACACTCACACTCATGCTCAGTGATATCAAGGAGTGGGAAAAATATTGTTCAGCGGGCTAAGCCCAGCTGGTACAGCTTGGCTTAGGGGAGGTGCCAAAATTACTACCCTCGCGAAGCCGGGTGGGTGGGTGGGCCGTCCGCCAGCTCACCCGCTGAAAACTGAACTAGAATGCGAAGTTGTTTGGCGGGTTTCCAGTATCTATTGCATTCCACGCGCGCAATCTTACGCAACCCAAATGTTTAACCATGAATAGAAGGTTATGTAAGAGTAATTCCACTTTGCATATCATTATGAGTGTTTAGAATAGCAGGGCAAAACACCCATGTAAGCAAAATCCCATACATTTACCTCAAAAGAAAACACATTTCCCATACTTATTCCTAAAACCTCCAAACCCACAAAACTCTCCTCCTTTGCTAGTCGGGCCAAAGAATACGACCCCAAATCCGGTGTCACTTATGTAGTTAAAGGCCTCTTGTCTGACTGCCTAACCGGAAAAGCACATACAAAACGTTTAAGCTGATTGATATCCTGCCATGGCGCCACTATTTTCTCTGTGGATGGTGCAGAAAGACGTCCTGAAGCGCCAGGAGGATTCAACGCTTTGGCCAGCTGCAAGTAATACAAAGCAGTGTGCCTCCGAGCCCAGCCCACACGCTCCATTATCTTAGCGAGGTCAGCTCCTGTGAGTGCAAGTGTGATGGCACAGCCTGATCGGAACCCATGCAGTGTTTCGCCATCATCAGCTTTCATCTGTTTAAGGTACAACTTGAGGCGGGCTTCAGCTGTAGAGGAGCTAAGCGGCGAGTCTAGCATTCCCTTCTTTGACGTAGTTGGGCGGAACAAGTAGCTCTTTGTCAGATCAATACCTATGTACTTTTCAATTCCCCTAACAGGACAAATGACGGTCTGGGGGTTTCTCCTTACACCAAAGACATTACAGTCTCCATCCCTCAAAGTCTTAACCCAAACATGGTTAAATAATAGGCCATCATCATTCGGGAAACGTAATATCTCGGGAACCTTAACCTGCCCGAGATCTCCTGGGCGATCCCCACTAAAGAAAGCCGTTATAAAGTAGACCTGATCTCTGGCTATGATAAAGCGATCTAAATTGGCCTTTGCCGATAGCTGGGTCAACTTATCAACAGAAAAGGGTGTGGCCTGCCTCGGTGTGGACGTGCCTGTAGCTGCTCTGCTGTAACTAGGCGAAGGTAATCCTTAACCATCTCGTCCGAGGCGGGATTACCGAGGGCTACTGACCTATCCCACTCACCATCTCGTCCGATGGAGTGGAATATGGATCTTAATTTGCCAATATATGAGTCCACAGTTTTATACGAAAGTCGTGTGGGACAACCACAAGAAAAGTGGCCCTGGCGATCCATAAATTCACAACTATTGCGATGCCCTTGAGTCCTCCCATTCCTGTCTTTGAATATCAGGAGTCGCTACAGGTCGTTAGGGATGACGGTGGCTAGTGAAACATATCCTGGCAATTGACTCAAGAACATGTCCAATTCTTTTTGAAGTGAATCTTTTTGCTTCTAATAGCTTGTCGCTTGGTCATAATTCAGGAGCTGCTATGTCGGGCATCGATTTCTGCGACATTAACTATAATAGCCGACTTGTCCATAGATGGGGACGGTAGCATTGTCAATTTTCTTTTATACCCGCATCTCTGAGAGTGACGAAAATCGGAGTCATTAGCATGTGCACATGTGGGGCATCTAACCGACTGGACGAATAACTTCGCAACAACTGGAAGTTCCTGTGAATCAAACAGGATCTATATTATATATAAATATTTCTATCATCCTAGTGCATGCAAACATACGCTTGTTACAATAATACATATCATTTGTTAACGTTTTCGTGCCCAGCAGTGTTCATAAGGTTGTTTGCACTCAAAGACAGAGTTCCTATACTCGTACTTACAGGCATCATATAACTCTATATTATCAATTGTCACAGATAAATTGTCAAAGTCATTCATTCAAGTCCAGACAACTCATATTAAAGTTATAGCAAAAGCCCATAGGACTCCATGGATTCCTGGATGGCGACACCAACCCTTTTTAGATGGGACCAGGAGGGCGTGTCTGTCACCACGGACCTCAAGTCGTTTCTTCTTAGATGCCATGTTCTCCATAATTGGCCACCAGAACTTCTTCGGGAATACATCCATGACGACAACAGTGCAAGACTGTTTAAAGATCTCCAAGAATTTTATGAAAGGGCCAGTTAGTGTCTTAGGGGGACAGCATACGGCCGTTTCATTACGGTACCATGACGTAATAGGTCTTGCGTGAAGAGGTTTACCCCCAGCGACCCTGGAGAAGGCTGCGGCGTAAAGTGCGACAGAGGTCGTCCTTGTGAATCTTTCATGGCATTCGAATCGAGCGCCATCAAATCACACGTACGCCCGTCGACTCCCCCGAATTCACGCTCGACAATGAACCATAAATGTTCCAACAACTTATAATCGGTGGGAGACAGGCGTTTGGGAGGTGCGTCTGCTGGGTTTTCTTCAGTATGAACGTGCGTCATGCGGAAGGAAACATTGAGCGCCATAGTGGTAAAAAACAGGTTTTTGAGTGCTGTATTAAGCTCCAAGCCCTTTCCCGTTTTATTATTCCAAGCCTCTAGGACATGTACGCGAGCATTGGCAACCTAATCTTTGAAGGCCATCAGTACATTATCAACCGCGAATGCCTCTTTCGTTGAGATATCATGTGTGAACTGTTCAGCAGTCTAGTAATCAGCTACTTTCTCATCATGCGAGGGTAGCGATAGCACCCCACCCCAGCCAGTACCAGAGGCATATGTAGCAATGGATATCGTGACATAATGCTCATCCCTCCAGGGTATGGGCCTCTCTTAGTCCTTCAAGAACTTCCAACGGGCAATCTCCTCCTACAGACGTCCCTTGAATGGGATTAAATCAGAAAGGGATTACAATCCCAAGGAGATAGCACTAGTTATTAAATTCTCAACCTCGGATAATGCAATTCTAGCTTTCTGATTGGTTCACTGGATCTCGGTTACCAGCCATTATACCTGCGTTTGACTTTATATGGAAATGAATGCGGTAAATGTCGCTCGGCATAAACCTTTACGCACGAAGCCAAGTTTCGTCGACAAAAAAATGGATGAAAAAAAAGCAGAGTTGGTGAGCTACCTACAGAAGAAATACAGGAAATTATGGACAATGCCGTCCCAGTAAAAGCAAAAAAAGCCACAAAGTTCGAGATTAGATTATTTAACGGTACGTATACGTTAAGTTTCCTTTAAAAGTTGCAAAATTAAAATGACCGTCAAGATTTTACGCATTCATGAAGATTATGTAACCACAACAATGTTTACCTTAACAGAATGGCTTGCTAGTCCTGGTGACACCAAATTTCGAAACCGATATAAGAAATGTCAAAGGAAGAACTGAATGTTTGTTTGAAATGTTTTTACACCTCTGCGAGGAAAAAAGATGGCACGTATTGCGAAACCCATTACAGCTGCCATTGATAATTTCCTTCGAACGCCGCCGTGCAACAAACCGTTTTCCATCTGTAAGAAGCCTCAGGAAAACAGGCATCATTGCGGGCGTAGTCCATAAGAAACCAATTTCCAATGAGCAGATGAGGAAACTGTTCGACTTAAGCGAGCTCGGATCGGCCGAGAGCAAAAATTCCGCACAGATACAGAGGACGACCCGAGGTTTATCTCGGTCTCTTTTTTGGCTAACGGGGACGGGAGAATGAATGACACCTAGCGTCAACAGCAGTTGAGTGTTTTGAGATGAACTGAAGTAAGCCCGGTTCTTTACCAGCCACGAAAAACCATCAGGGTGGCCTCAGATATTCTGAAGCTCGAAGATGAATCTGACGCTAAGATAGTTTCTGTCCCTGACTCTGAATCTGGCCAACCACATACAGCTCGAAATGCCAAGGCTTTCAAAGAAAGGGAATCCTGAAAGCGGTCTTGTCGAGAAAAATTTTGGCACAACGTCTGTATCACATGGCGATCAAAGTTTTCCGCAAAGTTTTCATTCAACTAATTTTACAAACGGCGCACATGTCATGTGATTTCCCACTTGTTGTTTTTGCCACATCGACTTCCGGTCGCTTTGTTAAATTTAAAATCCAATGAAATTAAGCTATAATTTCGAAGTATAAAAACACACCGAATTTAATAAAACAATTATTCCATTCGTGCTTGTTGGATATGAGATTGGTTATAGCCAACTTGGCCATACGGGCCTCGTTGGCTATTTACCATCTCATATCCAACGCGCTCATGGAATAATTGTTAATTATCTACCTTATGAACAAGCCAGTGGCAGGGACAGCAAGGCTAAACGAGTTGCACTTCCCTACTAGACGTTGTAGTGTTTTCATCGAAACTCGCTTGCTTCCCAAAATCCCTTGTAAGAGCTCAAGGAATTTCTGCTTCTTGTCGGGTTTCAGATGAAACAGCTGGCGGGCGGAGTCGGCTAGAAATCCCGAGTAAGGGAATACCTTTCTTGGTTCCAAAATCGATTTCTGAAGACCTAGAAAGTAGCCGAGTTTTACCAGGTGATAGGGGACTAATAAATAGCCGATTTAGCCGCTGTTAAGTGGCGTTTGTCGGCGCTCTTCAACTCAGCATATTCGCCCTTGTCAAGGGGTACTTGCAACTCTTCATTGTGGCGGTCGTCAATATACAAGAAGCAAGTGATCCCAATAGATCGAAAGAAATTATTTGCCACTAGGCCCGTCGTATTTTTTTATTTTTTTGTTATTTTGTTCCTCCAATTCCTAGCTAATACATAGATATGTAAATAGGCCCGTCGTATGGTAGACGAAAGGGCTTATCTTTCAGCCAAAAGGGGAGTGAATTTTAAACGAAGTACCACCCGCCCCATTGGATCCCAAAGAAAGCACGACTCCTCTCCGTCAGAAGAATATGGTCGTAGCCCGATTTATCCTCCAGAACAGTTTCATAGGTACCCTTGGCAGCATACCGAGGCAAGTCTATCAGTTTATCGAAGGAGAATGGCATGTCACGCATTCACAAGTGAAGGAAGCGGGCATCATGAGATAATCGCGGTTTTGTCAGCTCAACAGTCAGCGGTAGGATAAGGTGAGGGTGGCTAGCTACACCCATTCTTGCCAACAACGAAATTGCTCCTGATTTTACTCTTGCAACCAATGTTTCCGCCACAAAGTCTTTAAATAGCCTACACGAAGGTTTGTTTCTAAGGCCTTTCTCGGGGGCAGATCCGAATCAAATGGCTCACCCTTGAACTTACCCCAAAAATGTGTGAAATAGGCATCTACCGCAACCCTCCCCTTTATCCATGTCATGACCTCCTACTGTTTTGTCAGCGGACTCGCTTGAGCCACATACTCCCAGTATTCAACATGGTTGTGCAGCTCTCCTGCTTTAAAGAAGTTGTGATTGCGGGATAACAAGTTTGAAAGGTCTCCAACAACCTCTCCATTTTGAATCCGTTGTAAGCTAGTGTGTCGTCAGGCACTGTTAGATCTCCACCGACTTCAACAGAGTGCCCCAGTGAATCGATCCAGTTTATGGTGGTGGGCTCAATAGAGTTTTGCAGCAGTCTGAGCCTAGAGTCCAGCTGTTCCAACTTTTCCCAGGACCATATTATGTTCTAGAAAGTATAATGAGAATACCAAATTACTAGGGCCCAATGGGGAAAAATGATGGCCAAACCGATTTTCAAGTACACCCCGCTAAAGTCAGCCGAGAAATAATAGCGCTGACCAGACTAGCAGGGGAGATTTGATTTAGGGAACTTCATATCAAAGCTGCTATTAATAAACGACCTTACAAGAGTCAAGTCGACGTCCTCACTGACTCGTGTCCAGGCCCCTACTCCTTTACCAGGGTCTGCAGAGAAAGAAAGACTGCGGGAGCTGAAACTCCCACTTTTCAGGGATTTTCAAAGTTATCTGGAAAACTAGCTCCCGCACTTTTGTGATACATTTTCATTTATTAGGCCCCACTACGCAGTGTGTGCTTAAATAATTACAGGCTCTTTACCAGGTTCACGCTAAACAACTCGCTTGAGCGTTAGGAATGTGGGTAAGCTAAAACCTCGGGACCCCTTTTCATGGCCGCTATCAAATACAGGGCTACTCAAGATCCAAGATCTCAAACATCTTATTGCTCAACATGAACTTTCAACATTTTGGACCATACAATGACGTCGTCGGCATAATACAGTGCATAAATAATCAAGCGAGCTCCGATCATCATCCATTATTGTACTACTGTTTTTTAGCATTGTCCTTTCCCTTCCTTTCAGGGCAGTTTGCTTTTATATGGCCTATCTTATTACAATACAAACACCTCAAGGTTTCAGATTGAACGTTTGCCACGGTTGACACATCGGCGCCTGCCGTATTGACTATAGTCGCGCTCCTCCTCGTTGTGCTCCTTGCGAAATTGCTTCACTACCTTTGCAGAGATGTCAAAGATTTTTTCGTGATATTTGTCTCTCAGGAGATGTAGGACAAGGCTCTTAAAATGGCGTTTCGAAACGTCAACCTTCTCCCTCGCAGAATGATGCACAAGGCAGTAGTAAGCATTTTTCTCATACTTTGCATCAGAGGCTGTGTGCAGGATCGAGCCTCTCTAGCATCTCCAGGACCTCATGCTTATTGAACTCAGTTGAAGGTCTCGAGCAGTAAGTGATAATCCGCTGCAACAGGTCGTCAGGTGAAGCCAATGTCACCGCGTCAACAGATTTTCTCAGCTAGCGAAGTTCTTCACGCAGTCTCTGAAGACGTAAAGTAGAGTTTTAATCAGCGTTAGAAATCCACAGGTAATGGCAGTCTCCTTTGCGTGCTCGCCAGCCTCAGCTATGGGAATCTGGGTCGAGGAGTTCTCCCCAGATTCTCTCGCTCTAAATCATACCACAGGCTACCCATTGACAGTGATACTTTAACCAATACAAATCAACTGAGCTCTCCCCAGACGCTCACGTTCTTAATAATACACAACAGGTTACCCATTAGAATGATACGCCTAGCAGTGCTCTGCCTCTAGTCTACACTGAACTCAAAGACCGTTAGGTCCAGGGAACGAGTATAAACCAAGCGAAAACTACGACGTGTTTACATGGGTGCTAATTCCTTGCCGTAAAGGGATACTCGCCCCCAGGCTACACTAACTCTAAAGACCATTAGACCCAAGGAACCAGTATAAACCAAGTGATACCACGACGTTTGTACTAGTTTAACACTAGTTCTCGTAAATTAGTTTCCGTGAACTAGTTCAATGCCGTCCAGGCAGACAGGCGTCCAGGCTATACTAATTCCAATGAACGCTAGATCCAGGGGACAAGAATAAACCAAGCGATACTACGACGTTCCACTAGTTTAAGGTGGCCGAACACAGTTTTCAAGAGCCTATGCCTAATTCACCATTACTTTTAAGTTATTTATGCTTTGGCGCTCGTTTTTTGCAAGATTCAAGGTTAACCACAGAAAAGTTTATTCTCGTATTTTGGCTAAGGTGTGTGCTGTTCCCATGGCAACGGGGCTGGTTAAAAACAAGGCTTAAAAAATGGTTTTTGTTTATTTAA